AACCAATGTTTTTGGACCCGGCCCGGTGGCTGGCCCGTTTTGACCACCGGGTCCGGGTCAACAGGTTGAACCGATTCGCCCGACCGGTTCAACCGGTCAACTAAAATCAACTAAAAATATTTTTTTTGGCATTTTTATTGAAGTTTACGTTTATTTGTTACTTTCACCCGAAGACCATCTGTTTTGTTTTGAGCAGAACAGATGAAGTAGATGAAGACGATCGACGGAAGAGAAGAAGTGCAGCGACGGAGGAGAAGATCGACGTGCAATCGGCGGAAGAGAAGATCGGCGGATGATCGGCAGAAGAGAAGATCGGCGGACGATTGCGGAAGAGAAGATCGACGGACGATCCGCGGAAGAGAAGATCGGTGGACGATCGGCAGACGACGAGATCGGCGGAGATCGACAGAAGAGGAGATCGACGGACGATCGACGGACGATCGGCGACGAGAAGATGATGAAAATTCAGCCCGGCCGGTTGTAGCGGGTCGCACGAGTTCAGCGGGCGTGACGGGTGTGACGGGTTTCAACGGGTTTCAACGGGCCATTTACTTAAACGGGTTGAAGTCTTCAACCGGCCCGTTTTCAGATCCGGATCCGGTTCAACCGGTTCAACCGGTCGGGCCGGGCCGGGTTCAAAAACATTGGGGAAAACTGTATCTCAGCCGGGCCTCCTAATTTTTTGTCGGAATAAATTATCAAAACGGTGCCGTTCTAAGTTAACAATATAAAAATTCCAATTAGGAGTCTTCGACTCTCGTCTTCAACCATCCCCTGTTTCTACTCTCCAGATCTTTGACAAAACCCTTTGCCCTTGTTCCCCTATTTCAATTCATCCCCTTTTCTTCTTTGATTTCTCCTTGTTCTCCCGTCGTCTTCAACCATCCCCTGTTTCTACTCTCCAGATCTTTGACAAAACCCTTTCCCTTGATTTGCCCTTGTTCCCTTATTTGAACCCTTTCTTGCAAATTCTCCTTTCATCCTTCCGAAACCATAGCCACTCAACCACTTCACCGGAGGCTTGAAGACTATTTCGAAGAAGTTGCCGGCGAAAAGATGGCTATCCTTTGATTTCCCTAATTCAAGCGGAGGGAAAGGATCAAGAAGATGCAACTGGACGCGGCACCGAGGAGGATGTAGTTGGAGAAAAGAAAGATCTTGTGGGTATGGTAGTGGGATTGGGTGATTGTCGATTGGGGAATGGTGTTGAGGGAGATGCAACTGGACGCGGCACCAAGGAGGATGTAGTTGGAGAAGAGAAAGATCTTGTGGGTATGGTAGTGGGATTGGGTGATTGTCGATTGGGGAATGGTGTTGAGGGAAAGACAAATTTGGGGATTTCGATGAACTTGATGATATTGGATGGATTACTCAAGTGGGTATTTGTTGAATTTGGATTCTGGAAGTTGTAGGGAGTAGAAGAATATGGAATTTTGGAGTTTCTTTGATTTCCCTAATTCAATTATACTGTTCTTCAATTTCAACCGAAAACAAAGAAAAAAAGGTTGAAGAGGGAGAGATCTTTGAGGAATCCTTGGAATTTCTTGGCAGAATTTCTTGGCAGAATTTCTTATTGTTGAATAATAATCAATATACATGAGTGATTATTTTGTAAATTCTTGTGTTGAACTTTTACAATTGGGTCAGTACCTGGGAATTGGTTTTTCATTATTTTTTGCAAACTTAAATACATATATATGAATTGTCCAAAACTTTGTTGGTTTATGTTGTTTATCCGAGTAGATGATATTTTTTGTTTTCACAGGTCTGTTTCTATTTATTTTTAAAGAGGTTGAATTCTGTATTGCTTTGATGATCTTTATGGTTTGGTTTTGGAGAGCAAGAAGCCAGTTGGTGATGATGCTACCATATAGACATGGCATTTGGAGAGCAAGAAGCCAGTTGGTGATGCTGGAAAAAGGATAGAATGTAAATAGTGTTTCTAAGCTGTAAATACACAAATTTTGATTCAAAGTTTTGTCAACCTGTAGAAAGAAATTTCCCCAGGTATGCCTGGGTGTAAGATGTACAATGCTTTTGATGCAATAGAAAGAGCTTGCCTTTTTATCTAAACAGCCTGAGTTCAGATATGCTTTTGATGCTTTTGATTCATCTCTTGAAGCTGAGTTCCTCAGATCAAATAACAAAATTGCTCGTTTGAAAACATGTAAGCATCAATAAGTCTCCAATTTACTGTTCTACTTCTTTGCTCCTTAAAATCCCAACTCAGTAAGACATGGTTTATTTATGAATTTGACCAATAAAGCACTAGAAGAACCACAAAACATGACATCCAGTATCAAGTATTAACTTCATCTCATTCTCCAGAAAAATATCACTACTTGTTCCTGTAGTTCATGCACACAAAACAGGAAAAAAATCAACTGCAAGCACACTCTGCTCCAGCTAAGTAATACAATTGTGGCAAAAAAAAAAGAAGAAAAAAGCCAACCACAGAAGTTTGTGTTGAGGGGAAGAGAAAAAAATATATATTGCAAGCAAACAGAAACAACAAAACATGATAGATCTCATGGACTAGTATCTGATCAGCATTCCAAAACATGAAAACTTCACTCATTTCGTTCAACATACACAGAATGCCAGCTCAGGCTGTTATAACACTTTTGCCATTACTGAACAAATAAATAATCTTGATCATTGTGCTCATATTAATATAACAACATAGTGTGGTGAATTGTTAGAGAGACGCAAAAATGACTTATGGTAGCAAATAGTTGGCTAGATTTTTCTTGCAATTAACCAATAGTTATAATAAAGAATTAAATTGAGAGATAAAACCAACACTAATTTAATAAACAAAACAAGCCCATTGGCTTGACTTATCTTTGATCAATACAATAATGCAAAAGCACAAAAAAGTTCAGTTCACTTGATAATATAACTTGATCATCCGGATAAAAAAAACATGATAAAAACAAAGAGTGTTTTTTTATAGATTTGCAACCCATATGTGCCCTGCTATTGAAAAGCTTGATCAAATTGAAGGAATATGTGTTCAGCTGGAATTGACATGCAATAAATCCCTCCTGCAACAAGCACAACAATC